TCAGAAACTCAGAGCTTTGCCTCTCACTTCTGCCTACCCACACTGATCACATGCTACAGTTTGAAGATGTGTCCAGTAGTCACATGCTGTTGTTCAATTAAAAGAAAAAAAAAAAAGTTCTGTCGTCTGTTAAGTGTGACCTGCCCCTGAACTCTGTGAAGACAGTCCGGTGGGAAGCGTGGCTCGGGAGGCTCAGTGGAGAGATGAGAGGCGTGGGAAGTGGGTGACCCAGGCCCCGTGGGGTCCTCCTATCTCTGTCTGTCTCTGTCTGTCCGGGTGGGAGGGGGGTGATCGCAGGTCATAGGCAAATGGAGAGGCTGCCTGCAAGTCCCCTGTCCCTGCTCCAGGGCTTAGCTTGGCAGGTGGGGCTTGACCAGGGTGTACATGAATGAGACGTTCTTCTGTCTGGACGGCTAGACAGACTGCCCCAGGAGATGAGATTGCAGCTGGGGTGTAGGGAAGGGTGGGGCTGTGAGGCCTGGCCCCTTAGACCTGCAGCCCTGATCCCGGCCAGCCCAGCTGCTCGGAGCCTCCTCCAGCTAGGCTGCTGACAGGATCACGCGCAGCTACAAGGGCCCAGGGCTCCAATGCCTTTTCCCACCTGTCTCACCTACAAGGCTGTGGCCTGCTGAGAACATACCTGTCCCGAGGGCTGCTCTTGCTAATATTTCTTTTTTTGTCTCAATGTCATCCCTTTGTCAAGAATGGTGAGGTATCTTTTTTTGCTTTAATTGCGCGCGCGTGTGTGTGTGTGTGTGTGTGTGTGTGTGTGTGTGTGTGTGTGTGTGTATCAAGCACCTGGAGGTCAGAGGACAACTTGTAGATGTCACCTCTCCCTTCCACCTTGTGGGTCCCAAGGATCAAACTCAGGTGGTCAGGCTGGACTGCAAGGTCCCTTACCCACTGAGTTATCTCATTAGTTCAAGAATGGTGATGGCTCTTTCAGTCCTTCCTACAACTAACAAGCTGGTCTGCTGCTGGCGGGTGCCGCATAAGGCATGAGATGCCACAGCCAGAGACAAAGACCTTTATTCCTCACATGTTCAAGTGAGCAGTGGTTATCTTGCTCATCAGTTCCCCTTGCTGCCCACGTCCATGCAGTCAATGTGGAGGTGACCCAGAGGGGGTCACTGAACCACAACGGGGCAACCCTGGGCTTGGAAACCCTGGACTCTGGGTAATAAGTAACCTACCCAACCTTTACCCTGAAAGGAGACATTACATCCCATAGTAAAATAATGCTGGGGTGACAGACATCATCCACCAGGCCAGCTGGGTTTCCTGTACATTTTGAGACACCCTATCAAAGGCTCCCAAGCTGCACACAAAGGCAAACCCGCAGAGAACTGACTCTCAGTCTCCCGCTGTCCCCCCATGTTCACTGCCCCCTGGCTGCAACTCCCTCCTAGACCCCAGCCACCCTCCTCCCTCAGGACTTGGCCTCTCTCGTTCTCTTTGCTTAAGATGTCTCTGCTGCAGATGGCTGACCCCTGGCTCCTTCAGGTTTCTATCCACATGTGACTCCGCTTCAGGAGATTTCTAATTACCCTCTTACTAAGAGCAGCACATACACTTGGGGGGGAGGGGGATGAAGAGGTGTGGACTGAAGAGAAGAAAGCTTCAGTTAGGAGCAAGACGTTATTGGAGACATCCCCACAGCATGGTGACTGCAGTTAACAGTGGTGTCTTGTGTACAGATTGTCCCTGACTCATAAGGTTTTTACTTCACAGGAGCAGGGAAGCACATCCACACAGCCACCCTGTTTTCAGTACTGAATATATTTCATGAGCTATTTAGCACTTCATTATGAAACTGGCTCCATGTTAGATGGTTTTGCCCGACTATATATAGGCTGGTATATGTTCCAAGCATGTCTAAGATACAAGAGGCTGAGCCACGATCTGGGTAAGTTAAGGCTGGTACATGTTTTCAACTTACAATGGCCCTAAGGACACAATCTTACAATAGGCTGAGGACCATTTATGTTTGAAGATCATCAAGGCTGGCAGTGGTGGCGCACACCTTTAATCCCAGCACTTGGGAGGCAGAGGCAGGCGGATCTCTCTGAGTTTGAGGCCAACCTGGTCTACAGAGTGAGTTCCAGGATAGCCAAGGCTACCCAGCGAAACCCTGCCTCAAAAAACAAAACAGAAAGAAAGAAGGAAGGAGGGAGGGAGAGAGAGAGAAGAAAGAAGCAAAGAAAGGAAGATAAAGTCAATAAAAGAATAAATACCAGTATTTCCGGCAGAGAAAAATATTAAGGATAGGATGGAGGGTCAGTTGATCTCAGCACCCCACATTTCACACATATCTAACTTTACTTTGTGACTGGTAGGTGTACATTATTGCAAACTGTCCATTGATGATGACAAAGTAAAAATGAAAAAACATTTCAAAAGAGTGTCAACCCTTAAAACCCTCCTTAACTCTGGGACCTCTTGTTTCTCCTTTTTAACTTCACTTTTATTGTGTCTGTCACATAACACACAATTTAATTTTAGTTTGTGTCCATGTCCTCCACCCCACTCTACGTTTTAGTTTATTTCCATATACCCAAACCTAGTGCAGGACAGACCATGCTCAGTGAATAGCTGAGTGGTCGGGTGAATCCATCTACCTATTTCATTTCAATGGAACGTCTCCTCCCTACCCCCCACCCCATAGTTTCTGGGTTGATCTACCCTAGGGCCTCAAATAAACTAAACAAGTACACTGCTGACCTTCATCCCCAGCCCTCTTTACTTCTTCACCTCGAGACAAGGTCTCACAAAGTCCTCCAGGCTGGCCTTGAACTCATTCTGTAGCCCCAGAAGGCCTTGAACTTCGAACCTCACTACCTCAGCCTCCATAACAGTGCTACAAGTCTGTGGCACCTGACGCAGCTGAAACTCCATTTCTATGTTTGTTTGTAGGACAGTTTCTGGCTTGTAAAGATGGTCCAGAATAATTTAGTGAGTGAAACATCCATTCTCCAGTGGATGTTGCGGGGTACAAAAGTCAAGAGGTCACAATACCTGCCATAGGCCACTTCTGCCTAGACTCTTCCTGGCAATGTCTTGTTGTCCTGGGATACTGCATCCTTTCGGTCCTTAGGGAGGAGTAGGAGATAATGGGAATGTGAGCTGAGCTCTATCGTACTCTTTGATTGGTCAGTGTCTTGTTCAGTATCTTGTGGCATGACAGCAGCCAGGCATTGCAACCTGAGTTGTCCAAGATGGAGCCTGAGTCCGATCAACCACCAGAGGTGACACCAGGCGAGTGTGGCAAGGTGCAGCATCCTTCACCAGCACCGTGTCCATTTTCCCACCCTGTGGAGCTGCGGTCTTCTCTATCCGTGTTCTCAGCATCAGCACAATCTACTTCCTGAGCCATTCACTGGGCCAGCTCTGCCAGCAGGATTGTCTGCCTCCCAGCCTTGAAGCTGTTCAGGGGATGGTGACACTGTCT